TAATAAAATTAGATAGTGAAGCCCCAGATATAAAGATAAATGTTATTCATAATTGTACCCTTAATCAGGGTGGGATATAAATATAAGTGTTTTAATGATTAAGAAAGTAAAATAATTTTTCTTGTTTTAAAGTACTGTCTAGTTTGTTTGCTCCTTGCTGAATTTAGCTCACTGTTGATGAGGAGAAAATATCACAGGTCATTTTTTATCATTTTTCAATTGGTTTTATCTTTATTTTAACAATAAACTTCTTGGGAAAGTAAATCATTGTATTAATTGTTTAAAATATCGAACACCTTTTTATAATAACATGCATAATACTGTGACTTTAATATTTGAACCTCAAGCATTTGCACAACTTATTAGAGCTGCTGTAGTGACGAAGGAAAACCAAAACGTATCGTAAGACACACAATGGATAAAAGCCCAGGACAAATGGAAATGTTTTTTTAGCTCTTTAACTACTTCAAATTTAGGTACTGTATATGGAGACAAGTAACTCGTGCTTTGTACTCTAATAAATGAACGTCTGGTGATCAAATGCAATTAAACTGAATACTATGGATTCCAGTATGCCAATCTATGGAATTTACACATTGTTCTGTATACAGTATTTATTAACTCTTGCGGTGAGCGATATCATTAATTTGTTGCAATATCAGAAAATTCTTTCTCTGCTTTGAAAACAAACTTAATAGTTGTATTTAGGGGATCACTTGGATTTTAATTGTTGTGAAACAATTAAAAAAATGTTGGTTTTGGTGACAATAATTAAAGCTTTAACTGAAAATAAATGTTTAGCATCACCTATGATGCAAATTGCCAAAATAACTTTAAAATACTATCAATGATCTTCCTCTTCTGCTTTGACTAATTTTCCTTCACTTGATGGTCATTTTTGTTATCTCTCCTGTAAATGATTTCCTTATTATTGTAGCAGCACTATTCTAATGACATTATTTAATGTTATCTATACAAGCAGGTTGCTAGGCCTGCTTTCATATTATTAAGGGTTTTCATATTATGAATGATTTTCTTTTTTCCGTTTTTGCAGAAATTTAAAGAAGGAACTAAATGACATACGATTTGAGTTCATGCCTGGAAGAGGTAAATTAATTGTAAATAATATCTGATACCAGTCTGGACAGGTCGTAAAGTATTTTGAGCTCTGTTAGAGAAGTAAACTGACCAGCATTCAATGCACAGCAGTCTGTTACTTTCCAGCCATGTAACTTAATGGAGTTCATAAATTGTAACAGGCCCTTATAAAGTTACCACACTGTGTTTGTGTAATAGCATTTCTTGAAATTCAATGAATCACACTCCACATGAAGCAATGAACAGATTTTCCTTTGAATTGCTGTCTGAATCTATTCGACTTGCAAGCTTTGAGTTTAATGGTTGAATTATTATTTTAAAACATCAGCAGTTGAATTAATAGGTTCAATTTGCATGGCAGTGGCTGTGTCATCAGTAGTTTTAGTTTTGCATGTTTTGAGTGAACAGTCTGGTTCTTATTATTTTTGGTGTAGCAGTGATTGTTTTTTTTAGCATCGTGTAAAAGTTTGTTTTAATTTTATTATGTGTATGTTTTAATAAGTTATATGATATGCAGAGTGTTTTTGACATGAATCGTCAAAACCGAATTGCTTTATTAAGCAATAGGACTTCCTTTTACATGGTATCTTCTCGATATCTATAATGTTTTCAAATGAAATGAAGTGCTACTGAAGTGCTACTGAAGGCAAAACATTGATGTTGTATTATAAATTATGGAATACAAAGTGTGCATTCTGCTCATCTTATACAGTACACCTCTAACATGATGCTGTCATATATACTGTATAATGCTCTTTCTGTTCACTACTTTGTATCGTTCTTAGGGTCCTTTACATTGCCAGTATGAATGGCTGTAAAAGTAAACAGAACAAAAAATGTAGATGGTTATTAGGGGTAGATGACTTTTATACCATTGCTGTTTTCTTCTCCAGACACAGCTGATGGTGTTTCACAGGAGCTGGTTTCGGCAGGGTTGGTTGATGGGAGAGACTTAGTAATAGGTAAGTAAACAAAGAAAAATCTTCTGTCCAGAAGAAGTGGAGTGATATGTGTTGCAGCATTGGAAGCAAATGAGATATATTTCCCACTCCCCTTTCTCCCTCTACCCCATCACTCCTGTTTGTACATTAACTACTGCTACTTGCATTTATTACAAATTATTTCTACTAAATCATAAGACATCATTTTTCTGCTTTTAATAATGGACTACACAGTGCTTATGTTGATCTTTCTTTATCATTATAATTCTACCCCGCATTCTGGAGTTCTGATTTTCTCTTCTCAGAGAATGTTCTTCTGTTCACTCTGATGTGCTTGTATTGATGAATAATTTGTTGAAATTATTCACAATACCAAATAAACACTGAACTAAGTTTTGAACAACACTTTTTCATTCTAGTTGCTGCTAATTTGCAGAAGATTGTTGATGAGCCTCAAACTAATCGATCTGTCACTTTCAAACTGGTAAGTTCCTAAATATTAAAATATTAAGAATTTAAATTGAGAACCTTGGACATAAAACCATGGCATTAAAGATTTGATCACAAACGATCCTTCAAATATAGTATATTAAGTATATATAAGTATAGAAAATTGTAAAGACTAAGCAAGCACCTAGGAAGAGTTTTCAATAAAACATCTGGTTTTCATTTGAGACATTTAAATGTTTAGAACTGATAAAAGTGAATTTGTCTTTTCTCAGCTAACTCATTTGCTTGTGTTGCATTATTGTGTAAAGTGCATCTGCGTTTGTGCTGGATAGCATGACTTTTTCTGCCTACCTCAGCTTGCTCGGTGTTACTGGTATATGGGTGTTTAATTATTGGTTTTACCTTTAGTAATTTTTTGTTTTCTGGTTTAGCATTAAAGAAAGTGCATAACCTTTTTTATGTATTCACAGGCTTCTGGAGTTGAAGGCTCCGAAATTCCTGATGACGTTAAACTTATGGGATTCGCACAGCTCAGCATTAGTTAAATTGCAGTACTACCAGAAACCTGACTTGCCTAAAATAGAAAAACAAATAGAATCGCACACCTGTGCATATTCTTTACTTTCATTGGCCTAATGAAACCACTACTGCCAAAGAAATATAAGATGCTGTTGCCCCCACTGGACTCAGAAACATGCTAACTTTCTAACTAGGAATATGTGTTTACAGTGTATGTATGTTTGGAATAACCCAGTCATCATCCACGCATAAAATCTTGTATTTGCACAATCTTAATTAAATCCTGCAAGTCCTGGTAATGTAACAATGCCTTATTTTAAACATTACTACTGAATAAATGGTGGGGGTGTCCCCGTGATGGTAATGAAGTTTAATTGTAGCATGAATGTGGTTTCAGTTACTAATATTAAACTTTACTTTAGGAAAGCATTGATGCACAGTACACACCTTTAGTTGTGTTATCGAGCTCTAATTGTATTTCATGAATCATCTTGAGCTTTTTAGAGTAGGATTACTTTTGAATTGAAGTGATGTTAGCATGTTACACCGTGGGGCATCAATATTATTAAGATCACAAATAGTCATGTTGTTGACAAATATGTCAGCACTTGAATGTTCTAATGTTTTTTATGCTTAAAGATTTCTATGGACAATACTAATATCAGAGTATAAGGTAAGACAGGAAGGACTTTTTAACATCACTTTAAAATTGGTTTTCGTTCACATCTCTGTAACACAGAGGATATGTGAGTTGTGTTTGTGATCCTTTGGGGATTCTGTATTTAAGGCAGTTCATTCTTAACTTAATTTGAGTATATATTAGGGGATTGCTTTACCTAGGTTAAAAGATACAAATTCAACCTCCTCCTTTCAACTTTGTAAACATATTAGGCTTGATTAGTGCTGTATTAAAAATGTCCCCAGTCATGTACTGAATAAGGGAGGTGTACTTTGATATGGTGCATGTTGCAGTTCTGGGCTCTAACCACCACTCTTTATGAAGTACAGTATAAGGATTATGAAAAAAAAGGTGCGATAGTGTGTTTCTATATTGACCAGAGGGCTTATGTTTACTGTAAAGCATTGTTTTTTTTTTCACTTCCATGTCAGAACACTGGTTTCAAATTATTGTTAACGCTGGCTCTGAAGAAACTGTGGACTCTTCTGAACTGTGACAAGAATGGTCAAGATACCAGATTAATATATATTTGCATGGTGTTATATATTAGCAAGTGTAAATCTAAACCCAAGCTTTACTTGCAGTAGGTATAAATATTCTTGTGGCCTGGCCATTCAGAACACAAAAGCCCCTCAGATACTTTCTACATTTAAGTTTTACTTAACTAAGTGCATTCTCTGAAAAATCAGAAATGAGTCTGAGTAATTACCAAATCAGTTTATTATCATGTTCAGTTTAGCAACAGAAGTGAAAATTACTTCTGAAAGGTTGTAATGAATTAAGACATTTAGTTTGGGAACTGATGCAAGCTAAAATTGCCAAATCGCAGTTACAGTATACGGTATTTCGAGAAAAGTTTAATTCTATAGTAACTGGAGCCACATGAGCCATCTCCTTTGTCTTTTTCATACATGGGTATTAGCCATGACTTCCATCAGAAATCATTTTTTAAAAAACGACAAAATAAAATTAAAGTAATGCATATAATCTAATGAGGATAAAAACTGCAAAGTACTTGATCATTAACTTTATAGCTTGTAAATAATGAGATTTGGTGTTTTTTATACTGGGTGTTTCACAGTTGGCCTTTGTATCTTAAAGGGGAAGAAAAAAAATCAGTGCTGTTAAAGGAAGCAGGTAAATCAATGTTTTTTTTTTTCCATTTTCTTCCATAGCAATCATAACAGGGTTTAATCTAGAAATAGCCGCTTCGTTTCTGCCACAAATTTGCTCTTAACTTAGAAATGAGTATAGAAAACCCTTATTTAATCTTATAGGCATGAATCACATGAACATAGCTGCTTAGGGAAAAATGAAATATGCCCTGTTAATTTCAAATGGTGGGCAGTAGTAAAAAATGTTTTTATAGTTATTGCTTTGTCTGTGTCATTTTTTATTTGTATGATACAGTAAATCTTGAAACAAGGAACACCAGGATTTTAAAACTGACCACTCTCCCTTCTTCATAAATCTTGGAAAAAATGTCTAATTGTATAAATATGAAATTTATATTTTTTTGTAAAAACAAATACAGCTACTTACATAATCTGAGGGTAAGGTTGTCTATTTCTTCAAAGTCAGTAGGTTTAAACTCCTTTGGGAGTCTGCTACAATTTTTGTCCTGTTGACTGATATTTAATCAAGTATTGTTTGAGACAAGACAAAATTGGACTAGGTGTATTGTACTAGGACAGTGATCACAAGGAGTAAAAAGACTTTGAAGAATTCTTAACACTGCAGTGCACCTTGAGGTTCATATTGTAGATACTAGAAAGATCTGACCTCAGATCCAAGCTAGTAAGAGACTTAAAACAATCTTTGAGTAACCACCTTAACATATCAGGACAAATGGACAATGGCAAGTTTACAGTATATACAACCATGTTTACATCTTTCAATGTCCTGGAATGTATGTGCACAACCTAAAAGGCTGAAGTAATTAGATCTGTTTTACATGTAGAGCATTTTACAGTATTCTGTACTCACACTGTTTAAATCAAATTTTAATTTCCTAAACTCTGGATGTCATTATGCACGTATTGCATACACCAATCTGTGTATTATAAAATAAAGTGCAGATCAGGAGCCAGATCATTGTACTAGAGCATGTCAGTCTTTAAAATAGTGTTACAGGTTTTAAATTTAGAGGAAAACCACAGATTGGTTCCTTTCGTTCCCATTGGGTTGAATTTGAAGTCTTAACATTCCTGGCCTGCTTGGTCGAGCTAGCTCTCACCCATATGTGGTAAAGATGCTTTGAAAAAAAATTTCATTTTGTATTGCATTTTAACAACTACATCATGCTGTGGATTTAATACATTGTTACTAAACTGTTCTTTGTTGTAGCTAATATGATTTAGGAAATAAAATATGGTATATGACACCATATCACATAGCGAATCCAGAGTCAACACTGTTGTCTTTACAATTGCTCCACACATTTCTACATTTAAACTCCAGTTCTTTACTCTGTAAATAAATATCATGATGCAAAAATCAGGAGTTTGGAGGTAGTACCTGAGTACACTGCAAGTGGTTCCTTTTTCAATAGAATAATAAAAAATGAAATAAATAAAAAATAAAGATTTTTGTATCTTTATTAGTAATCCACTCATCCATTTTCTAACCACTGTATTGGATAGTCTTGGGAAGCAATGGGCACAAGACAGGATACATCCTGGATGGGACGCAAGCCCATCTCCGGGCATACACGGACACAAATCTTATCTAACATTAGGGCCAATTTTCCCAGATGCCAATTAGTCTACCAGTATGTCTTTGGACATTGGGAGGAAACTGGAGTACTCAGTGCAAACCCATGTGAACACAGGAGAGCATACAAATTCCATGCAAAATTGAACCTAGGCCCCCAACACTGAAAGACAGCATTGCTAACCACTGCACCATTGTGTATCTTTTATTGACAGTCCTGTTTTAATATCTTTTACTGATTCTCTAGCAAGGTGCAAGTGAACTCTATTCTGTAAACCAGTCCTATGATTAACGCCTATAACATTTCTTGGGATATTTTCCCCAGACCAGTAAATATTCAGTTTTATGATGGTCTTTTTAAAATGTTTCAGATTGCAAAATATTTTGCTAAATTATATCTTTAGAAGAGGAAATGCACCTTAAATATTTTTAATTCTTCTGTGAACACCATTAGTAGCTTTCATCCTTGAAACCCTTAATAAATAGGGAAAATGGCCTAGAATTACATTCGTATTCTTGATGTGGCTAACATAAACCCACATATAAAGTATTAATATGTAAACCTGCAAGTATTTAGTGCCATTTCCCTGTGCTTTATTCCTGAAAATTGAACAGTTCTGATAACCCTGTTGTGAATTGTGGTGTATTCTGGATTGAACCCTGAATCCAACTGCATGATTTTTTTTTGGTTTTAAAAATATATTTAGGTTTTTTTTTTCTAAATTGTAACAAATATTATGCAATTAATAGTAAAGTAGCAACAGGACATTACCTTTACACGGGACTTTGTGTGCTGTAGATTATAACACAAAGCTGTACAATATTTTGTTTTTTACATTTTGGTTTTTAATGCATGTTCCCCTAATTATTTTTAATCAATAAAGAAGAAAGAACTTATCAGTTTCCTTTCACTGCTGTGTCTCATTCAGAGCCTGTTTGCTGATAACATCAATGATTTTCAACGCAATTATTTGGAGAACATGAGATCTAAAAAGCAATTTTGGTGTGAAATTAAAAAAAAAAACAATGAGATGGGCATGTTACTCTTTGGCTTCAAGGATTAAAGGGAATCCAGTGGAGTCAATTTCCCTCACACGTGAGACATATGTAGAGTTTCCTGTTCATAGTGAATGAGGTTTGTACTACAGATACAGTATAAGGCCAACAGACCTTTTCATACTTTAATTTATTCAAGACGTTTATCCAGATCCTCAAAGTGTTTGTGTGAAAGTGACAGTATATGCACCCCCAGCTGACTGAAATCTACAAAGACCCGTGTGCAATATTTTGTCATGGAAATTTTGGTGCGTGTTTAAGAGCATCTGAAGCTAATTTCAGATAAGATACGTTTTCAAGTGTTTGCCGGTTTAAATCTTGGATACGTCTTTAAATAGACTGACACCAAGAAGAGGTACACAGTTGCCTGTGTGCTGGCGCAGATGAGATTGCCAAGTTATCCTCAGCTTCACATGCAACAGTTATGCCTACGGCTAGCAGAGGGGTCAGTGACAGCTCTGCTGTGCTCACAGTAGGAGTCCTAGTGGAACTAATGGCTCATGCTTCTGGGACGTGTGCTGTACAAGTCTTCTCCTCTTGCTGGTGTGAGCATAATAAAAGGTGATAAAGCTGAGCCTGAATATTCCAGTTCGGTGGCCATTATAAAAACAACATTTCCAATTGGGGGGGGGACCCTGGAAACTTTAAATTATTTTTTAATGATTTTGCCCAGAATAAAGTATAATTGAAGTTTTTGGTTTCCAATTCATTAGAGGCAATGTATTCAAAATGTGTTGTGCAGTACACACAGTAGAAAGAATAATTGGCACTTAAAGTATCATTTGATAATATGAAAAGTGTAGTTACTTTTCATATTGGACTACTACTACTATCACTGCATAAAAATGTAGTGATGTTTTCAACAACATCATGTATAACACTTATTTATGGCTTAATCAGTTTCCTATTATTTATTTCCTCATCTTTATTTACTGTAGAGTACTGCACAGGATGTGCATTTTAATGAGTGTGTCAACTAGCAGTAGTGTATGCTAAGTTACCTTTAAATTCTTCCTAAAATGTATGTCTGAGTTCTTCAATGCATAAAGAAAATACTGCATTGTAAATCCTGTCTTGTACTGAAGCATGTGTTGCATCATTGGGTTGATATTGCAGCTTTTTCTAATGATATCTGATGATCCATTGCCAATAAATTAAGTAGCAATGTTGCCAGCTGCTATAGGCCTTGTGCCATAGATCTTTGAAAGTAATCTATTTTTGTTTTTTGTCTTGTTGGTAGTCCAAAAAAAATTAACATTTAATGTAAACTAATTTGTTAACTAATATCTTTTCTAAAAAGTTTTAGAATGTATAACAGTATCAATAGTTTTTGTATCTCATTACCTTCCAAAACTACAAACTTGGTGTCACCTCTTTAATTCTACATCTGGGTATGATCACTATCCTGATTTGACTGGAGTCTGAAGGTCATGTGTCCTGTGCGATTGTGAACATCAAAGTCCTGAAAGTTGTGAAATCATGCTGAACTGCACAGAAAAGCAGGAGTAAATGAGTAAAAAATTGACCCCTGTTTTTAATGTAAAAACTTAATATCATTGCCTAATAATCAAAATATATTAGTAAGATTAAACTGGATACATGAAATACATCCTTCTTTTGAATTTTTTAAAATGCTTTTGAGTAACTACAGTATAAGTCTTAAGTGTGTAGTGCAGTTGTCAGGTTATCTGGGTAAGGTTCACAGATAAAACTCAGATTTGCAGGGTTGATTTGCAGGGCTGACAAGTGGCACAGTTTAAACATTAATCTGACATTACATATTAATTTGTGCTTAGTTGGAAGAGTGGGATCCCTGCCTTTGAAATACACTGCACAATGTATGCGCTACAGGTCTTCTAATCATCCAGCATGAGCTATTTTGGCCAGATTATTGGAGCTGTTGGGGAATTTGGTACATTTCAGAAACGACTGCTTTTGGCAATATGTCTTCCAAACTTTTTTGTTGCCTTTCATATGTTTGGACAAGTGTTTACTGGTTTAAAAATTCAACACCATTGTAATACAGACTGGATCCTGAAACTCGACCGAAATTTGACCCAAGAAGAGCAGTGGAATCTAACCATTCCCAGAGACAAACATGGCAACTATGAGTCCTGTAAAATGTACACACCTGTGAACTGGGACATTGCGTTCATTAAGGCCAATGGAATTAACAGCACCACTCAGTGTACCAATGGATGGGTATATAATTCTTCTGGAGATACATCCACCCTAGTATCTGAGGTTTGTAATGTTTATAAAAACTGTATTTTTCTACCTTGTCAAACAAACAAGTGTTGCTTTTGATTAAATAAACAGCTACTGTATGTGGTTATATTTTAGACACCTCTATGAATATGAAGTATTTGGAAAATAAAGCAGAGAGAAAAAAGGATTATGCCCAAGACCTTTTCACCCTTAACTGCAGAGCATATCTGTAACTTCAGGCAGACAGTGTGGTGTATGTCACTTGTAACCAATATTAAATCATTTGCCACCTTCCATCTCAGGAACAAGATCTTGGGAAAGAAAAATTGAAAGCATTTTAAAAAAATAATAACATTGTCTTTGATTACCTCCCCCCAGTGACCCTGGCTTTCCTTTTTCTCTCCTTCAGTTTAATCTGGTTTGTGACAACAGTGGGCTGAATGAAATCTCTCAGTCTGTGTATATGGCTGGGCTCCTGATAGGAGCACTGGTGTTTGGGCCTCTTGCAGACAGGTATGAGTGTTTCTGGTCAGTAGGAATCCTATATTCTTTATAAGTAACCTACAGTACCATGGAGAGTGGTAGGGAATTGTATCATGGTTTGGAAAGGTTTTACTATGACACTTTATTATATCATGTGACTGTATATCATGTTATTCTGGCTTTACTAGTAATGAATACACTAATTTCATTATCTTTGCACTATAGGCAATGGTACTTGAAGGGAAACCACTGTGCTATTTTTATATTTCAGGGGTAGAAATGCATTGATGAGTGTCTTTCAAACCACAATGGAAGTAGAATATACACACTGTAACATGTAAAACCTCAAATTTACTGTACATAAAAAATCCAGTGATTGTGAAAAGGTCCTATTACACTGCAAAAAAGCAGGCTTGAGTAAATCTATTTTGATCCAATAGAAATATCGCACTCAACCTCCAGGTGTTTTTTGCTGACTAATACTGTTTGTTAATTCTGCATGCAGATCACGGTGAAACATGATGATGGTGAAATTTGGCTCCACAACCTGTACTTATTTACTCATACATCACATTGCATAAGTCATTACAGTGACTACTGAGCAGGAAGGGCTGCTTCACATCACAATTTGTGCAAACTCTCGCCTCTGGCCCATGGCAAGACCAGTGGTCTATGACAAAATGGAGACCATCCAGTACTTTCACAAAGTGCACAATTTTGAGCTTGATTCAGAATTTGTAAAATTGTGCAACGCTGTCAATTTATTTTGTTACCAAATTTAATAACCGGTCTGAGAAATTGGGACTAGTGAATTCATAGTAATGAAATGGATATATTTTCTACACTTTCAAAGTAAGATTGTTGGGGAGTCATACAATATAAAGCAGAGTCCACATGCTTTTCTGTTTTCTCTTCGAATACAATATAATGTGATTCCTAAAAAATACAATTTGTAATATTATATAGTCAGTGCAGTAACTCCATAGACATGCCATGGCAAAATTTGATAAACACGGGATCATACTGTCACAGGCTGGTGTTCCACAGTAAATGTCAAATGCTACATCCAGGTAGCAATTTCAAATAAATACCATGTTTCCCCCACATAACACTAGGATATATGGTAAGTATTCTAATTCTATAATTATTATCATAGATTTAGATGCATATATGAGAGATTTAGTTGAATTGTTGTACTCCATTAATGATCATTTAATCTACATAAACTATGCCTTGTCTGGTTTCAAACCTGTTTTGTATAAAATGTGTGATATGTGATTCAAAAGACATACATCTGAGATATTGTTCTTAGTACATAACTATAAAACTGGCAAAGAAGGAAAATGTGCAGTATTTAAAAATAACATTGAAATGGCTTGGTTTGACTCTTGTATTATGACATAAAATTTTACTTCAAAACCTAAAGCTCAATAACACTTACTCACAAAAAATATCTAAAATAATAGTACTCTGCAGATACTCACTTGGTGTTATAATGGATATTTCAGGGTTCCTTATTTTTTTCTTATCAAAACTGGTTAATTTGCCTGGAGTAGTACTAGAGCTGTCTAAGATATTTTTTACTTTTTCCTAGGTTTGGTCGTCGGTCAATTATTTTGGTCTCCTTACTCCTGCAACTTGGCTTTGGTGTTGGAACCGCCTTTTCACCCAGTATTTACGTCTATATTGTGCTCAGATTTGTGATCGGAATGACAATATCAGGGATAATAATAAACACATTTGTTTTAGGTACAGTTTCATATACATTTATTTCATTTAGGAAGATGGTTTTACAATTTGGTGGGACTGTTAATTATGATTCCAGTCATATATTGATTCCAGTCCAGATAATTTCCCTTATTAAAAAATGGTTAAGGCTAAAGTAAATGTTAATGTTTTTTATTCAAGATGTGGACTGTCACTGGGCTCTGTCTGAGCTACACCACTGCCAATAAGAAGGCTCTTTGGTGTAATGGTGATAAGCAGATTCTTTCAGCCGCAGACGACAAAACAAGACACGAGACTTGGTCTGGAACATTGTAAAACACAGTGAACCCTAAAAAGTCGTTTGTGAATCAAATTTTAAAATGTCGGCAACAGGGACCGTGCAATTTGATATACAGTAGTTTTATCTGAATGCTAGTGTTCTCTTCCGCTAGAAATTCTACCTAGTGGCATACAGGTAATGGACAAAAATATTGAAACACCTTGGTGAATGAGGGGCACTACAGTAAGTATATGAAAAACAAGGGCTTTCATATAGTTCTGGCTCAGTCAGTAAGCAAATAACATCCCAGTACGGTTAGGGTCATGGATAAAATACTGGACCAGCAGGCCTGGTTGCCTGAAATTATGGTTATCGTGCCTGCAAATGGAGATCTTAGTGACTGTGAAAAAGGGGTGATTCTGGAAGTGCATTTGGTAGGGGTTGTAGTGACCAGCACAGCTCAACCTGTTGATGTTTCATGAGCAATGGTGTCTACTGTAAGTTGACGGAACTCCAAAGTTCAGCACGGAACTCCAAAGGAAAGACACCATAAGCAAAAGGCAGCAGTGAATAGAAGTACATACAGTAATCTACGATCATGATATCTGTGCATTACATTTGAAATGCAAAGCAAAACAGACGTACAACAGCCAATCTATCAATTATAAATCCACTCAGCAGCATACCATAATCAGGTTGCAATACACAAACCACTTATCGCACTCGGCTATGGACTACTGAGTCGTGCAGAAATGTGATTTGGTTGTTATGCCATGGCTGTACAGCAAAGGCAGCTGCAGAGGAGTTCTGGTTGGATTCCAAAAGCTAAGGCTCGGGGAATATTAGAGGTTTCCAGCACCGTCCGAAGGTGGAGGTCTGAGCTTAATGGAAAGGCCGGAATGCTGAGGGATTGGAGTTGGCCGGAGAAGCCTGAAAGTTAAGAGGTCAACCTAGAGAGTGGTAGAAGAGGTTGCCATGGTAGTGGTGAACTGGAAGCAAACATTACAGTTGCCTCAGAAGGAGATCATCAACCTAGCTCTATTTGGCAGAGCTGAAGCAGTCGGAGCAGTGATAGGCTACTGACTTGCTGTGGACCAGTGGAGCTTCGGAAGTCTTAACATAGAAGGGCTGCCGACTGGTAATTGACTAGTGAAGCTATTGAGGTCTCTGTAGGCCTAGAGCAGAGACTAACCGCTGGTGTGAGCAACAGAGCTATAGAGTTCTACACAGTGTGATGCTGTGACAAGCTGCCAGCTTGTAGTAGGCAAGAGTGGTGGTTGAGGTTGCAGGAGAAGTTGTCTGCCAACTTGTAGCTGACCAGTGACACTCCGAAGCTGTGGCAGACTTGTGATGGTGAGGAGACAACGGTCAGCTGGTGTGGGCCTGCTGACTCACAGTGAACCGGTGGAGATGTGGAAGCTGTGGTGGACTGTGATGCTGAGGCAGGCCGGTGTGGGGACAGGCTGCAGGTGTATAACAGACTAGAGTTACCATTGAAGTTGCAGTAGAGATGGGATGCCGACTCATAGCACCATGTGGTCAGTGGACGGAAGAGGCCGTAGCACACAGGTGAGGCTCATGAGATCACAGCAGGCCAGGTGCGGAAAATGACTGCTGGCTTGTAGCAGGCTGGTGAAGCTGTAGGAGCCATGAAAGGCTGAGAAGCTGAAGACATCACAGAGGACTGGTGAAGTTGAGCAGACCACAACAGGCTGATTCGTGAACTGACTGTTGGGTCCAGGACTGGAGACACCGTAGCAGTCACAGTTGAAGTGGAGTTAACGGCTTTGGCAGTCATAGGAGAGGTTAGCTGCCAACTGGGGAAGCGGCTAGTGTAGTTGAAACAGAGGCTGGCTGGGGTAGCAGCTGGTGCAGTGGCTAGCTGCCAACTGGGGTAGATGACACCAGGCAAGCGCCCATTGTACATCCAGTGGTGATTGTGCCAATACGGTATCCTTCTAGAATGACAATGCCATTCACAAAGTATGTGTTGTCGTCCAGTGGTTTGATAAGCTGTACACTGGCTTATCTTATATCATGGCTTTCTCAATCACCAGATCTGAACCCAATAGAGCATCTATGGTATATTCTGGAATGACTTTGGGATATTATGTGATTGACTTGTGGAAGAGTGGTGCTGCATCCCTCCTGCAGAATTCCAGTTTCTAGTAGACTGTATGCCACAGCGCATACAGGCCATGTCATCCACAAGTGGTGGCCCAACAACCTATTCAGTAACTCTGCATTGGTGTTTCCATTTTGTTGTCTACCACCTGTATGAAGTGAATCTCAATATTCCTAACTTGCACAGCTTTTGCTGCATGGTTTGAGTTGTAAGTTAAACCATCAAATGTGGTGAAAAATCAAGTAATGTCCATTCCATAGACTTCATTTATTTGATATGTAGCATATTATTTAGCAAAATAAAGAAACTTGCTTAAAATTCTCACAATAATAAATGAGCCCATTTAATGTACTGTACGTGTTCTTTTAACAAAACGAGTTATTCTCATTGTTCTATGGGTTTTATAAAGTCCAAATCTTACATGTCTCCTTATTTCTATTTTCTTTGGTCACGGAAAGGTACGGAATGGTCTGGAATATCCAAACGCTCTTTCATTACCATCCTTTCCCATGGATTTTTCTCAGTGGGGCTGATGCTTTTGGCTGGCATTGCATATGGTGTTAGAAACTGGAGGACTCTTCAGCTAGTGCTGTCTGCTCCTGCTGCAGTTCTCTGTGTCTACTTCTGGTGAGATGACTGCAATGACTGTTGTTCTCTGCACTCTGTGGAATACAGGCTAAAGGCTTGGTTTTCTGAAAGTCTGAAATTCATATAAACTGTGAAATGCATATAAAAAAATCAACATAGCCCCCTCACAGTCAATGTATCAACAGTGAATACATTGACAGAAAAGCAAATAAATGCATTCTCCCTGAAGGGACTAGATTTGTTTGCATTTTAATACCTTCCAGTGGAATCTTGTTTTTGAACACGTCTTTTTAAATACAACTCCTGTTATCACTCATATATTTGGTATAAGATCAAAGCAGATGTGCATGTAATAAATGACCTGATATTAAATGGTTCTTTAGATGAATGTTCTCAAATACCTTCTCAAGATGTTTTTTTTCCAGATTTTATTATTTTATTTCTCATTTTAAAATGTTCTCCTCGAGGGAAAATTGTCAAGGCCATTGAGAAAAGCTACTTCAAATTTGTATATGTATTCTAAATCACTGTAATCTCTAAGGCCTACACAGTAGGTATGGAAATACTTTTTTGATCAAGTGGTTTTGCAACTGTGTTTGGAAGGATACTCCCAGAGTCTGCCAGATGGCTTCTGACGCAAGGCAAAAAAGAAGAAGCCAAGAAACTAATCTTAGAGGCTGCCAGAATAAATAAGAGGAAGATCCCAGAAGCTCTGCTTGATAAGGTAATGTCCTACTATAAACCTCATTTAGGATTTCATTCTGCTGCTGCCAGCTTTTATTACAGCATCACGCAGGCTGAGTGATCCAGTTCCAAAGGCAGCAGTGCATGGTCAATAGTGGTGTCCTCTGGAGCATCTACAGTCCCATTCTTTTTCCATACTTGATCCTCTCCATCACTAAAGGTTTATCATTAAAAAAAACATTTATCTTGGTCTCTGGCTCATCTGTGTACTTCCTAGCCAGTTCTGAGGGATGATCAGGTAAAATCATGACCTGGGCATGCATAGCCATGTATAGAGCTGGCTCCCTCATCTTTATTGCCGATTTAACTAATAATGGATAGCAACAACATGAATTACAATGTTACTAGAAACATTTTGTCTGCTTATATGGAAGAAAATGCTTCCATATTAATTGGGCAGCGCTTTAACATGTAACATGAGAAGAACCCAAAACATACAACCAATGCAAGCAAGGAGTTCATCAGGTGAAAAAAAAAATGGTGGAAATTCTTAGACTGGCCAAGTTAATATTTAGATATAGATATAACTGAGCACCCATTTTACAAGCTAAAGAAGAAAAAATAAGTCTGAACACTATGAATAGACAAGAACTCCAAGTGGCTGCAGCAAAATATCTCAAATGAGTGAGCTCAGCTGGTCTTAAATTACTGCCTCAAAAGAGATACAGTATGTGACCAAAGGTTTTTTTATACAACATTATTGTTTGAAATTTACTTAAAATGAAGATGCTCCAATACTTAGTCTCTTAAACTCTTACATTAGTTTTATTGCTACTGTTATCATATGTATGAATCACATAACCAGAATATTAATTTTATATTGTATTGTACTTATCTTTATTACAAAGCTTATGATCACCAATATTAATTGCTTGACTGTCAAGCAAAAATACATTTTGACTTTGCTGTCCCAGTATTTTAGAGGGACGCATATTTCACCAAACTAAATCTAGACAGGGATTCTAGCAAAAGAACCGTAAGGAGAAATCACTTAGAATATTTAAAAGCAATTTTATCTGATATTAAGAAGTACTGAATATTACCAACCCATTTCTCTCTCGCCTAATGTAATTTATTATTTTTTACATTGAAGGCAGAAAGTAAGTCCAATCATTAGGTACAGTGATTGGATGTATGACTCCAAATTGCTCATCATCTCTGTGTCTTTATTTTTAGATCTAATACTCAAAATGTAGTGTATTTTTATGTTTTAAAATGCATTAAAACACTATTATGAAGAACCAAAAGAACTGCCTGGAAAGAATATATTTTCACTTAGCATTTGCCATGTTCCCTACTTAAATTGCCAAAAAGTAATATCTGACAGTTATGTTAATTGCATATTTAGGGGAAATATAAGCACAGTTCAGACTCAACAAATTAATGTTCAAGAAGTTAATTTGAATTAATTGAATTTCTCTGAAGATGGAAGCTGAAACTACAGGCAAAACTGGCAGTATGCTGGACCTTTATAGAATTCCCTACCTAAGGAAAATCACAGTTGTGTTGAGCTATGTCTGGTAAGTTCAAGCAAAGATTAATTGTAAAGCAATGTACTGTAAGTATTCTTCGTTTGGTATGCAAGACACTACCTGGGCCTCACATCACATCAAAGACCTTTGAAATACTCCACCTTAGGAAGAGCAGATCCTGTCACAATACTCATCTGATGATCTCATGGTTATCCAGCTTGTGTATAACAGTGCTGGCTTGGCAGCTGAAAATGGCAGAAGTCAAAGGAACCCTGGAAGGATCTGGGAGGTTTCTGCTTTGGTGGAACTTTATAGTTATTAATTTCCTTCACAATGCCAGGAGCCTGCTCCGTGTTTTTCCTTTCTTTTTTGTCATCCCTACATTGCAGGTCTCTTTATGTTCTTGTTCATCAATACCTGACATTTTTATTTGGATAAAATAAGATTTGTTCCTTTGAACAAAACAATTAAGCAAGACTTTGATATTCTCATGCCTTAGAGCAGCTGTGTTCTTTTATGGGTTTTTTTCACAAATGTTTACAGTATACTGTAAATTTCTAAGCAATCCATCAGAAGAAGCATACAATAAGATGTTATATTAAGCTCAGCTAATATTCCCAATGTGTTCCAAAGACCTTTGAATTTAAACTCACTATTCTTAATGATTACTTTTAGAACCAAATGCCGTAGTTTGGCTTTCAGTATTTTCTTAATTATTTTCTGGCTTGTTTCCCAACAGGTTCGTAAACAGCTTGGCATACTATGGACTGGGCTTGAATGTTGGAAATTTTGGCCTTGATATTTATTTAACACAAACTCTGTTTGGCCTTGTGGAACTGCCTGCACGTCTGGGAGCTATCCCAATGATCGAGAAGTTTGGAAGGAAGAAATGTCAAAGCTGTATTTTAGTGTTTGGTGGAATTGCTTGTCTATTTATTCTAGCTGTTCCTGAAGGTAATTTTATGAAAAGAGTAAAATGTCTATTTGATTCTGATTTGTATTCTTGAAATACCTGTAGTTCTCTAGACCTTAAAAGAACCTGTGCTGGAGTTCAGGTTTCAAAACAACTGCCAAGTTGTTAGACAGTAAGTGTTTGTTCCAGATTTATGCAGTAAAGAGAAATCTAAAACAATTTCATCTTTAGTACTTCGGAATTGCTAGAATAACCATTCTATTTCTTTATAGTTCTAAAGACAGTACTGGTTGTACCAGTAACAAGCTGTACAAACATGAAAACCTTTTAACTCTCACCTCCTCCCCACCAACCCACCCCGACCACCAAAATGAACTATTTGGATTAGCCAATCAACCTGCAAGTTTTTAAAAAGTAGCAAATTGAAATGAGTGCAGAACCTTGAGAGATGTCAGGCTATAGTGTTCACCACTCTGATGTTGTATGATCAGTGCAGATCACTAATGTAGTGAATTCTTCAGGGTGTTTATATGGTCACTGTCTCTTGTCCTCCAGGCATGCCTGTTGCAGTTACTGTATTAGCTGTGCTGGGGAAGTTTGGCATCGCTTCCTCTTTCTCTATTAGCTATGTTTACACTGCTGAATTATTTCCAACTGTTTTGAGGTATGTTTCCACTCATTGCACCTCATTTAGAAAGTGCATTTTAGCAGAATAAGCATATTTAATTAGTGTTGGTTTAATTCTTACTAGAATTAATGACTCTCCTGTGCCTTAAGTAGATTTGAACATTTTCACATTAAACATTGTGCTACATCCAGGAGAAACGTGGATAATTCAGATGTTAGATTAAAGATTAGTCTACAAGCACCTTTATCAACACACATTTAAACTTTTCTCGACTCTCCTGTTCATGTCATACAGTATCTTATTTTGAATATTGTTAGTAGTATTTGTGTGACCAAGTAGTCTGGACTGTTGTGCTATGTGTTGTTTGTCTTGTGAATTTTCTGTTTTACACCTATTGTATCCATAGTGTTACAGCCCAAATCCCATTTAAAGGGTGTTACAAGCACTGGGGTTTGTTGGGAGTGGTAAGTTAGGAGTCTGGAAATAAGAGCAAGTTTTTTTCTACCAAAGGGTTTTTACTAGTAGGGTTTTTAGATCCTAGATCAGCCTGACACCAGCTTTCAGATAACCTACATGCTATAAATAAGCAAGTGAACAATAAGTGGCATTGCTGGGACATACAGCAGTAAACATATGACTTCTACCTGGACATTTCATTAACAAGGCGAGTTTGTATGGGAACAAATACAGTGCAACTGAATGAAATAAATTAAAGAATACTGCATTTTTTACCTAAGTGCTTCCATTGCAAATAAAGGCTTTTCAGTTTGGATTCTGGATGGTGGTTCATTAAAGAGGGATGTTTTCTCTCCTTTTCTTTCAGACAGAACGGTGTTGGCTTGACATCTATGTCTGCCCGTGCGGCTGGCATTGTTGCTCCTTTGGTTCGGCTCCTGGAGGTCTATCACAAAGCCATTCCTCTGGTAATATATGGAGTTGGACCATTAGTTGGAGGGGTGCTCTGCATCCTGTTGCCTGAAACCTTGAATACAGAGCTCCCAGATCACACACATCAATTAAAAACGAAGTGAGTTATTTCAATTTCTTTCCGCCAATATGTCCGTCTTGTATCTGCGCACCATAAATAACCAATAAAAGCAGTGTTATCTGACATTGACATGTATCTTCATTGCTCTCTTGGCTGTTGTGGGGAAAAATACTGTACATTGAGTTTGTTTCACAGAACTTCCAGTTCTAATATTGTTTCTTCCAGTTCTAAAACGTAATGCCCATGTGTTTCATTGTAGGTCGATTGAATGTGATGGTGTTGAAACTGGAAAGCACCAGATGGAAGAAATTAAAACAAAAGTAAAAAGCACTAAGTTATAGCTGTTTAAAGATCGCTGTTGTTTGCTTCAGTATTTACTGCCATACTGTCCTGGCTGTTCTAGAAGAAGACTGCTCCATCTCAAACTTTGCCACAGTTAAACTTGGAGAATACTCACTGTCTAACCGCATGTTCTAGGTGTGTCCTGTGACCAATGTGCTTTCAAATGAATCTAATAAGACTCTGCTGTTGAGCTTGCTCTGCTGCTTCTTCAACAATGATCAGTCTTCATACTTCAAAATAATAATAATAATAATAATAATAATAATACACTTTTAGTTAGAAAAATGTGCTTACAGATTCAGGAATTATATTTTGTGAATTTAAGTGGAGTTTTTCCCATTGTGCTCCCTTTGTTGTGTGCTTTTTGATTGTTTCTAAAAATTCAATAAAAATGTTACCAAAAATATCATTATTTCTGATAACTTTGTTTTACAGTTCTCTCTGTATCACACGAGGCTGTTACAGTACATGCCATCAGTTATTGTCCATTTTTAGGAAGCCTCAGCTGTAGGGAATTGATGTTTTGATGAGCTACAACTGTGAGCTGTCCTGTTCATGTGGCCTGTCTGACCTCTTTCAAGAGAGTGGGGCTGCATAGATTCTTTCAGACTACAGAAAGACTGCACTGGCTGTCTCCGAGAAAGTTAGAAGAAGACTTTTACTCTGAATGAGGTGACCGGGGAAGGTGGTATAGCTGAAAGACAGGGATCCTGTTAGCTGGAAAAGGCTGTAGATGTATTTGAGGGCAAAAGGAATGGAGTCTGGAATGCCTACCTGGGTTGTGAGAGAGAACCCGTCGAAAGCAATCTTATGTGCACCAGAAGCTGGCAATTGTGGATGCCAATGAGTGGTGAGTGTGACCATGGAGACACTGAAGAAGAATTGGGGCCTGGATATCCGAGGGCTGTCAGGCACAGATGCCAAGGAAGTGTCATCTGTGGGTCCCCGAAGGGGAACATATGAGATCTGGAAGCCTGGAGGAGTACTGAAGGAAGAGGGGTTTTAAAAACATCAATCATGTTCTCTTGTGCCTGGTCTCTTCTCCAGCTCTGAATCGCTTGATTCATGGTATTGGGTTTTTGAATGATTGAATGGTGGTCACTGAGCTAGAAGGTTGGGTCACAAGGGTAATAGTCATCCCTGGATTGGGAGAAAAGACAACAGGAGATGCACCAGCGCTGATTTAGGTGGGAAGGTGGAACAATATAATTGTTCTGGCTCTGCGAGGAAAGTGTGAGTGTGTAGTTAGGGAACCAGAGAGCAGGAAATTGAGCTGGATTCTCACAACCCTACTGGAAGAGGAGTGGGGTTTGGGCTAATAGTTTCACTCCTGGTTCTGCTGGAGTAACTTGGTGAAATTCAGAGAGGAGGAAGCTTAGGCAAAACGTACATGACTCTGTATAAGAAAAAAAGACAGAGAAGCTGCCTGTCCAGAGCCTCTCTGGAAATTAGTGGCATCTGGCTTGTCTCCATTCCAGGGACAGAGAAAGACCTTGACAGAGGTGAGCATACACCAGACTGGTCTTGTTGAAGAAGAAGTGTGTATTAAAAAGGAAATAAAAAAGTACAATGCAGTGTAAGTGGGAAAGTGAGTTAATATAGTGGGGTGGAGGCTAACATCACACCTGCACTTAGACTGGCTTTGAAGATTTTGAGGGTAAAAGGAGTGAAAAGAGAGTTTTCAACTGGTCACCTTAATAATAATAATAATAATAATAATAATAATAATAATAATAATTAATTGCTTACACTTATATAGTGCTTTTCTGGACACTCCACTCAAAGCGCTTTTACAGGTAATGGGGACTTCCCTCCTCC